TGCCCCAAAAATCTCGGCAGGAGTTCGAACGTGTCGACGTCCTGGTGGTATTCGTAAGCCCTCCTGGAAGGTCAGGGTCCTGGGCCCAGCGGGGCCGGGATGCGCGCGCCTCCCTCTGGCCATTGGGTAGGAGGGCGCCATACGACGCGCCGAGCCTATGGGCCCGGGCTGGGCCCGGCCAGGATCTCCGGGGCCTCCGCGCGTCGTGCGCGAAAGTCGGGGGCGGCAGAGAGGGGGGTGATGACTAGGGGGGGGGGCGGATATCACGGCGGGGGCCATGACAGTTCTCCAGATTTCGTGGCGCCTCTTCTTGCTCCATTGCGTCCCTGGCCCTCCCGCTGGGCCGCGCGCGTGCCGCCGTCCATGATTTGCGCCCCCCCCTCTTGGACACCCCCCTCTTGGCCGCCCCCGAGCGTCGTGCACGAAAGCACGATGGGAGGGCTTTCGCTATAGCTGCGGCCTCCCCATATATGGAGGGCCCCTCGCCGGGCCCCGGGGGCGCCAAAGCGAACGGCTCGGGCTGAGAAGCCGGCCCTGGCGAGAAGGGGTCCAGACCTCATGGGGGTCGAGGCTGCGACGAACATCGCGGCGTCGGGGGTCTGGGATATATCGGTGCATGTGCCTATAAAGGCGTGGGCGCCCCTCCCCTCGCACTTGAGGCGTGCCAGGCAGCTCTGCCTCGCCGAGTCGGCCGCCCCCTCGGTGTGGGGGGCGGTGCCGGTGATCCCACCGTGCGGGCATGTGCCCTCTCGGCCGCGTGCCTCCCGGCGTGGCTCCGCGGGGGCCGGGGCTCCCCGGCGCCCGCAGCGGTGGGCCAGGGGTCGACCCGAGCCCGAACCCCCTCGGGTGGGGAAAAAGTGACGGCAGGAGGTTTGTTGCTGTTTTCGCGACAAAACACGGCAGAATCACGACGTGGAGGAAAAAGCCACGACAAAATCACGGCAGCGAGGAACAAATCACGAAAGGAGGTTTGTCGCCATTTTCGGCCTACATGGGGGCCCTTGCCTGGCCTCGGGGCCGTCGACAAGTCGTTCAGGCTGAGGATCCGGTCCTGGGCAAAGCGGTCGAGGCCTCCGCGGTGCGACGCCATGAAGAAATCATGGCGTCGGGGGGCTGGGAACCTGTCCGAAGGGCCGCCTGGGGCTCGAGCTAATGATGGTCCTTTCGCATGCGGCTCGTCTCCTCTTGCCTCCCCTGCAGCTCCTCTGGTGGCGGCTGGGTGCCCAATGAGCAGTCTGCGGTCGTGCCTGCGCGTGCGGCGCCTCGACGGCCGTCATGCTCTGCTCCGCCTCAAGCTGCGGCACGGCTTGGCGGTGGAGGTTGGCATCGCTGTCAGGAGTGCACAGGAGGGGCATGGCCCGAAAGCACCCTTGGCGGCCCTCCTGCGACCGTTAGTGAGGCGGCCCTCCGGCGGCCGCTACAGGCGGCCATCCGGCGGCCCTCGGCGGACCGGAGGTTTTCGCCCAGTTTCGGCCTCTGGGAGCCCCTGCCGGTCCCCGGGGACCGTCACACACAAGAAATAGTCAAGACGACGAGCCTGCCCCAGGGCAGGCAGGGTCCAGCCAGAATTGTTGGCACATTCTCCGAGAAAGGTGTCGGTGGACACGGAGGTCTTCGTGCCCCCTTGATTATGTTGCTCGAGTCCCTATTTTTCTGGCTCATCCTTCATCTCGTGGTCCTCCCTTAGGAGGAGGAGGAGGAGGAGGAGGAGGAGGAGGAGGAGGAGGAGGAGGAGGAGGAGGAGGAGGAGGAGGAGGAGGAGGAAGCGTCGCTCTCGATACTGAAGCCATCAGTTAGCTGCGTGCAGGAGGAGGTGCAGGAGGAGGAGGAGGAGGGGGAGGAGGAGGAGGAGGAGGAGGAGGAGGGGTATGGGTATGGGGAGGGGGAGGGGAAGCAGAAAGAGGGCTTGCAGCGAGCATCTGCATTTTTCGCCCACCAGATTTTGACTTGATGGCCTCATCCACCAGGTCTCGTGTCCCCAGTGCGCCTGACCTGAGCGACGCAGAAAAACGGGGTCGTCTTTGCGGACGCTCGCGATAAGCCAGCTGCCCGCGTAAGGCCGCGCGCAGGCTCCCCCGTCTCCACGCGGTGTGCCACGGCAGCGGCCCGCGTAAGTCACCGCGCAAGGTCAAGGTCGTTCCGCCTCTCGCGTAAATGTCGTTCCCTCTTCTCCATGTGGTGTGCGACGCCGGCGGCCGCGCAAGCCACCGCTCAAGGTGGCTATGTCATCTCGCGCCAGACCCTGTTCCTTTTTGTCGCTTACCCGTCGTTCCGACGTCTCCGATGGTATTCTCCATGGAGCTGCTTCGGCCGATGTTTCGGCGCCTCCTATGCGATGTGAATCAAACGCCAGCGCCGATAGCTCATCGCCAGGAACTCCCATGGTGCTGCGCAGGGCACTCGGCGAACTCATGGATTCTCGCGCGGACAGCGGGCCATGGCGGCACAGGATCCCCAGACCCCCGACGTCGTGCTTTCTGGCACGCCCTCGACACCCAGAGGCTTGGCCCCACTCCCCAGGACGGGCTCCCCATCCTGCATACTTTTGCGGCCCCGAGGCCCCGTGAGCCCACGCCCACCGCCTGCTACTGCAACGCTCCTCGCCTCCTGCTGCCGCATCGCTCCTCGCCTCCTGCTGCCGCAGCGCTCCTCGCCTCCACCGCCACTCTCAGCCGCCTAGCGCCTCCTCGCCTCCCTCCCTCTTCAGACACGCGGGCCCCCTATGAGGCCTACCGAAAAACCTCCCGTCGCGATTCTCCCAGGACCCGACAAGGGGGCCTGGGCTCACGGAGCCGACGAGCCGCAGCCGGCCCTTGCGCGGAGGCCGCGCCGGCGGCCCCGCGCGGCCTCCGCGCCGCCGGCGCCTCCGCCGGCCCTCGGACGCCGCGGGGCCTCGCTCTGCGGCAGCGCGCCCGGAGACCCTCCGCGCGTGGGAGCGGCTCCTCGCCGGAGGGACCTGTGGCGCGGGCCCACTGGCGGGTCAAGGGTGCGGTGGAGGCCCACGCCAAGGAGCACCCTGCTTGCCTCCAGGGTGCCCTGGGTCTCCTGGGCCTCGATGGTTTCTCGATGGAGAGCGCAGCGCTCCCGCGCCAAAAAAGCAGCGGACGTCCTGGGGGGTCTCAGGGTTGGGTTTCTTGCGGAAGGCCTCTTTGTGGTCGAGCTCTCACTGTAGGGGGGATGGGAATTTGAGGGGGACGCATTGACCCCAAAGTGTCGCCCATTGATCGCCAATCGTGGCCGGAGTAGCCCCAGGCCGCCCAGGAAGGCGCGGTTTCACGATCAGGGGCCGATCGTCGATCATCGGCGGTGTATCGCCAATCCCTGGGCGATATATTTCCATAGTTTGGGCTCTTCGTAGTTTGACTTTCCCCACCCCCCTCGTGTCATGAAAAAAACACGACGGAGGTCTTTCTCAATGTTCGGCCTCTGGGGGCCCTTACCGGCCCTCGGGAGTGTCAAAACAAGACTCAGGATGAGAAGCCGGTCCTGGGACGCCGTATTGAAGAAATCAGAGCATCGCATGTTTGGGACGGGGGCCCCTGGATCGCTGAGTGCGCTGCGATAGCAGCGACTTGCGCGCTTGGGTTTGGCCCTTCCCCCCCACCGACGGCGCCGCGCTCAAACCGCGCACCAAAGGTCACACTCGCCTGGGGGTCACTCTCGAGGCAGTCGGAGGAAATGTCGGTCTAACGTAAAAAATATGAAGAGGAGGAGGAGGCGGAGAAGGAGGAGAGGAGCAGAGGTGCGCTTCCTTTCGAACTCCCAAATCCATTTCGTGCCGTTTCTGAGTCCCCTGTGGGCCAACCGCCCACGCCAGATCATCCTGCACTTCCTGTCTTTTCGGTGGCTGCTGTCACATGGTGCACACTCCGTAGCCTTCGGCTCAGGTCTTCTTGGTTCAAGTGGACGCCCTTGTGCGAACGGCTGCCATGCAGGTGGTCGCTCGTGACCGCGAGGACAGCGAGTGCGCTGGAGAAGCTCTGGCCAAAAGGCAGCGCCAGGAGGCGGCGCGGCCTCCCGAGGCCATCTTCGAGCTCAGCACCGCGCTGCACTTCGTCGCCCCCGAGGGCGGCTTCCGAGGGCGGGATATCCACGAGGCCAAGGTCTTGGGCGTTCGCTACGACTTCAGGGCGTCCTTCGAGTGGGTTCTCCGCGCTTCCAGCCAGGGCCGGCCGCACGAGGAGTGGCACAACGTGCTCTTCGAGGGTCAGAGGTGCACCACCGTGGAGCAGTACTTCGACGTCGAGGGCTGCAGGTGGGACGTCCGCTGCGCGCCCTGCTGCATCATCGTCCACGACCCTGCAGCCGCCGGCTGGTACGAGGCATGGGCGCTCACCGGATTTGAGATGGGGTCCCTGGTGCGCGTCGGCGCGCCCGACCAGGCACGATCTGTGGTGGGCTCCGTAGAGGACGGCCGGCTCTCGTGGGAGCAGAAGCCCGCCGCCGGCGTGGTGCGGAAGTTGCAGACTTTCATTGCAGGCCCAGTGGATTTCGATGACGATGTCAAGTCTGGTGGTGATTGCGACGATCTCGGTGATTGCTGGGAGTGAGGGCCCGAGGCCTGCATCCTGCCGTCGTGGGCCTGCATTACCGGCAAGCAGCAGTGCTTGGCCGGATAGTGCCGTCGTCGACTAGACGTAAGAGTGACCTTTCGCCGGAGTGACCTTTGGTGCGGGCACAGATGGGCCCCCAGATGGCCGAACACGAAGCTAACAGCGGCTAGCGCGCCTGGATTTGGCCTCCGCGGGGCCCCCCCAAAGCCGCGCACCAAAGGTCATTCTTACCCAGGGTCACTCTTACGTGTAGCCGACGTCGGCGGAGGTTGGCCGGGCCTCTGATTCCCGCCGATGGTTTTCTCCCGACGGGGTTCGGCAGGCACTTCCCCCGCGGAGGGTGGGGCGCTCAGCCAAAAAACATGTGGCATGGTGCACATTCTCTTTTTTTCACATGTGACAGAGTCACCACGGGCGTTGTTCGCTTCAGTCGGGGTAATTAGCTAAAGGCGAGGGGGATGATGATGAGGAGGAGGAGGAGGAAGAAGAAGAAGACGGCGACGACGGTGAGGCTTGCCCCTGGCGGAGGCGGCACAAGCAAAATGCCGAACACCTTCGTGGAGGTCGAGGTGACCCTCTGTCCCAGCGTGCGGCATGGCTTCTGCTCCTCGTGCGCCTATGCTTCTTTCTTGGGCTCGTCGAGGCGCGTCTTGCTTCCTCCACCTTCTACTCCTCCCCTCCTCCATGTCCGCATCCCTGTCCTACCCTCCTCCATCCTTCCTCCCCCCACGTCCTTCCTCCCTCCTCCCTCGTCCTCCCTCCCTCCTTGTTCCCTCCTTCCCTCGATCTCTCTCCCTCGTCCCTCCCTCGGCCTTCCCTCGTTTCCCCTCCCCTCCTCCCTTTCCTCAGTCTTCGCCTCCTCTGCCTCCGTCCTCCCTCCTTGGTCCTCCCTCCCCCCCTCTCTTGCCCCCCTCCCTTCTGCCCCGCCCCCCCTCCCTCCTCCCTCCTCCCTCCCACCAGCTCTTCCCTCCATTCTCCGTCCTCCCCCTACCGCCCCTGCCCCTGTTCGGTGTTCCTGCACGGCGCGCCCGCACTGTACGTGGGTGGATGGCCGGCGGTCTGTGCGACTCCGCGTGCCCGTCGGGTGCACTCTACTCGGCCGGGCCCCAAGGGGGCAGCCCCCCCGGGGGCGCCCCTCCTTCGGGGTGCCACCCGCCTTCCCCGTGGCGCTGGCCCGTGTAGGCCCTCCGGGGTGGTTGGAGCTCTTGCAGCGGGGTGGACCTGCCCCACGCGGTCCACACTCCCCCACCCCCCGCCTCGATCCTCCGCCCTCCCCTGCCCGTCCTCTGTCCCTTCTCCCTCGTTCCCCCCCCCCCCCCTCCTCTTCGTTCCCTGTCCTCTCCTCGTCCCCTTCTCCCTCGCTCCCCCCGCCCCCCTCTCCCCGCGGGCGCGGGGTAGCCCCTCCATCCCCCCCTTGCCTGGGCGCGGGGCGGGCGCCACCGCTGCCGACCTCCTCCCGGGCGTGGAGCACTCGCCCTCTCCCCCTCTGTGCGCATCCGTTTTTTCCCTCCGGGAGAGCCCCGGGGGGGAGGGCGGTAACCTCTTCAAAGCCAGGAGCCCCACGCCACAGGGTGGCCGGGGCATGCGTCACGAGTGGCCCGTGGCACTGCCGCGAGGCCTCCGCCCGTGCGGAGGGGCCCCCGGCACAAGGTGGCCTGCCCCCCCCCCCCCCGGCGGAGGGGGAGGATGAGGCAGGCGGTACAGAGGCCCGGAAGGAGAGGGGAGGGAGGAGAGAGTAATCTTCGCCTCCTCTCTTTCTCTTTCCTTAACCCCATTCCTGTCGTCCTTCCCTGCTTCTCACCCCCGTCTTCCGGCTCTTCACTCTCATCCTCATGCTGGCTTCCTTCCGACTCCCCCTCTCTTCTCTCTGCTCATCTTTCCTCCACCCTCTTCCACCTTCCGCTTCCTCTTCCCTCCATCCTACCGTCTTCCTCCCCGCTTCTCCACGTTCTCGCCCCCCCGTCTTACCTCTCAACTCCTCCGTCTCTGCCCCCCATCTCCCTTTGCATTCCTACCTCCGTTTTCCCTCAACCGTCCCCTCAACCCGATGACGACCACGACGACAACGGCCACGACGACCACGGCCACGACGACCACGGCCACGACGGCAGGCGGCAGGCGGCAGGCGGCAGGCGCCGGCGACAACGACAGACGATCACCAGGACGACGGCGCTGGCGTTTACGAAGACGGCGACGCCGACGGTGCAGACGCCGACGCCGACGCCGACGCCGCCGCCGCCGACGCCCGACGCCGCCACCGCCGCCGACATCGACGCCGACGCCGCCGCCGTCATCGACGCCGACGCCGACGCCACGCCGTCGTCGACGACGGCCACGCCGACGCCGACACCGACGCTGCCACCGCCGCCGCCGCGGCCGCCGACGACGACGACGACGACGTCGACGACGACGACGACGACGACGACGACGACGATGGCGACGACGATGGTGACGACGACCGCGCGCGAGTGACGCAGCCACGGCACGGAAGATGGACTGTCGTACGCCAGCGGCGTCCGCGCCGCGGGCGCACCCCGGCGCCGACGGGGCCGCGGGGCGGAAGGCGTCCTCGCCGTCGTCGCCGCCGCCGTCGCCGCCGCCGTCGTCGTCGGCGTCGCCGTCGTCGTGGCCGTCGTCGTCGCCGTCGCCGTGGTCGCCGTGGCCGCTGTCATCGTCGTCGCCGTGGCCGTCGTCGTGGCTGTCGTCGCCGCCGTCGCCGTGGTCGTCGTGGCCTGCGTCCTCGTTGCCGTCGTCATCGTCGCCGTGGTCGAGGAGATGGAGAAGGGACAGGAGGAGGCGAAGGAGCATGAATGGGGAGGAGAAGGAGGAGGAGGAGGAGGAGGAGGAAGAGGAGGAGAAAGGAGGAGGAGGAGAAGGAGGAAGAAGTGGAGGAGAAGGAGGAGGAGGAGGAGGAGGATGATGAGCCCAGGGGGGATGTGGGACACGAGAGGGGGCAGGAGGGGAGCGAGGAAGGCGTTTTGGAAACGAGGGGCAGGAGGACAGGGACGAGAGCTCCCCCTCACCCTCGTCCCCTCCGCCTTTTTCCTCCTGGTTCCTCCTCTCCCTGCTCCGCGCCCCCCCCCCGTTCCCTTTGGTGCCGCTGCGGCTGCTGCCGCTCCTCCCCTGTGCCGTTGCCCCGAGTGCACAGAAGCATACAGCTGGCACGAGGGCCAGGAGGGGTCGAGAGAGCAGCCCTGCCTTGCGACGGGCACCCTCTGTGCCCTTCGTGGTCGGGCCCTCCACCCTGCAGTGCGCCTGTCGTGCTGGGAGCTGCACGGGGGCCCCAGGCCTCCGCAGGAGGGGCACCGGCTCTCAGCACGCGCTCTTGGGAGCCACACTTCGAATGCACATGGCAAGGAGAAGGAGGGGGAGGCAGATGAGGAGGAAGAGGAGGAGGAGGAGGAGGAGGAGGAGGAGGAGGAGGAGGAGGAGGAGGAGGACCAGTGTACATCCCAGAGTCATCAACGAGATTGGAATCCATCCTCCTTCCAAGCTCCCTCTTCACATGTCCCATACAAGGGTTCATTTCCACTGAGGGAGCTGCCTCGTTGGAAGACAACCGCTTGAAGGGCCTGAAGCGTGCCACAACAGTGTTCTCGGGACTCCAGCGCCACGGATAATCCTGACGGCTGTTTCTTGACGATCCTACAGAACGCCATTCCTGGAACTTCAACACCGCGAGTCAAAGTAACTGTTGAGCTCTCATAGTCCTGAACCCGTCCAAAACACCACTTCTGGTACGGCGACAATGGGAACATGTGAAAGTCTTGCAAGTTGTTATAACGCTTGTGCGCAGTGCTAAAGCGAGAGCCACATGTTGAAAACCACCCGCCATTATTACGCGAAGCTCTTGCAATGTTTTAAACGAATGTGCGCGGCGGTACGGCGAGAGCCACATGTTGGGAACCACCCGCCCTCCATCCGTGAAGCTCTTGTAAATTTCATCAACGAATGTGCGCGGCGCTAAGGCGATAGGCACATTTTGAAAACGACCCGCCCTCTATCCGTGAAGCTCTTGCAACAGTTTAAAACGCTTGTGCGCGGCGCTGAGGCGAGACCCACATTTTGAAAACCACCCGCCCTCAATATGTGAAGCTCTCGCATATTGTTAAATCGAATGTGCGCGACGCTAAGGCGAGAGCCACATTTTGAAAACCACCCGCCCTGATCAATCCGTGAAGCTCTTGCAACTTTTTTTTGAAAACGGAAGAGCGCTGCGCTAAGGCGAGAGCCACATGTTGAAAGCGACCCGCCCTCCATCTGTGAAGCTGGTGTCATGTTTCAGCTTCAGGGTCATAAGTGGTGAGGAAGTTTAAGGCGAAACGCCTGGCCCGCCCTTTCGACCAGCCTCGGGGTGCGAAAGGGACAGGGATAAGTTAGTTATGGGGAGAAGGAATGAAGTTCAATGTAAGAGGACAGTGCAAGAAAGAGTCGGTAGTGACAGGGAGGGCAACGGACATGCAAGGGGAAGACACGAGGGAAAGTTGGAAGAGGAGGATGAGGGATAATGCGTCTGGGGAAAAATGCAACATGAGCAAGATAATGACGGCTACCACGGCGAGGCCCTTCTTCCTTCCTCCTTCCCCCTCCCTCCCTCCCCTTCTCCTCCTCCCTCCACTTGTTTCGCTCCCCTTCTCCTCGTCCCTCTTTTCCACCTCGCCCCCGAAGGCATGAACGATTCTTGCCCCGGTGCCGGTGCCGGTGCCGGTGCCGGTGCCGGTGCCGGTGCCGGTGCCGGTGCTGGTGCTGCCAGTGCGGGTGCGGGTGCGGGTGCCGGTGCCGGTGCCGGTGCCGGTGCCGGTGCCGGTGCCAGTGCCGGTGCCGGTGCCGGTGCCAGTGCCGGTGCCGGTGCCGGTGCTGGTGCCGGTGCCGGTGCCGGTGCCGGTGCCGGTGCCGGTGCCAGTGCCGGTGCCGGTGCCGGTGCCGGTGACGGTGGTGGTGCCGGTGCTGGTGGCCGGTGCCGGTGGCCGGTAGCCGGTGCTGGTGCCAGTGCCGGGGCCGGTGCCGGTGCCGGTGCCGGTGCTGGTGCCGGTGGCCGGTGCTGGTGCGGGTTCTTGTTTTCCCAGAACGTCCTCTCCTTCTCCCTCCCGCCTCCCGCCTCCCAGCAGTGCCACTCCCGCCCCTCCAAGGAAGCCCCGCCTGAGCGAGGATGGTGACGGAAACCCATACTATTTACATGGTTTCGTGCCCTTCCCACCTCTCCAGGGAGGCCCCGCCTGAGCGAGGAGGGTATCCCACCCCTCCAGCAGGGAGACCCCGCCTGACTGAGCGAGGAGGGTATCGGAAACCCATACTATTTACATGGTTTCGTGCCCCTCCCTCCCCTCCAGGGAGGCCCCGCCTGAGCGAGGAGGGAATCGGGAACCCGTACTATTTACATGGTTTCGTGCCCTTCCCACCTCTCCATGGAGGCCCTGCCTGAGCTAGGAGGGTATCGGAAATTCATA